CAACGAGAAGAGGATCTGAGTACAATGTACACTACGGAATACCACAAACCCTTATCACCCTCATTCAACAACTATATGAAGATGCCACATGCCAGCCAAGTAATTCACAATGGGAAGCTCAGTGATGCCTTTGCAGTGAAGTGAAGACAGAAGTGAAACAGGGTTGCCTACTATCACCCATGATATTCCTGATTGTGGTCGACTGGACTGGATCATGCAACAAACAATGAGGAGCTGTGAGAAGAGGAGGATACACCGGCTGGACTGCGGAAAAGAACCTTGAATATTTGGATTTCGCTGATGATTTACGTCTAGTCTAATGTCACAAAAACTCGAAGATCCACAGGCGAGAACTAACAAGTTGGTAGAAGAGGCAAGGTAGCGAAGACGGGACTCCAAGTGAATATGGAGAAGATAGAGATGATGAAGATACCTAACCAACAACAACAAGCTCCAATCACCATCAATGGGAGAAACTTAAAGGAAGTAGCCTCCTTCACCTATCTAGGCAGCACTGTTTCAACTACAGGCAGCACAGGCACAGACGAGGATGACAAAGTCAGCCAGGATCGGAAAAGCAAGACAGGCGTTCATTAACCTGAAACCGGTGTGGAGATCTTCTGCACTCAGCATGTGGAACAAGATGTGGATTTTCAACGCCAATCCAGTCAAGTCAGTGCTTCTGTATGGTTCAGAGTCTTGGCGCGTTACGAAAGGGATTCCCAACAAACTACAGACATTCATCAACAACTGCCTACGCTGTCTCACTACTGAAGATCAGATGGCCAGAATAATGTGAATAAGCAACAAGGAACTCTGACTGGCTGTCAACGAACCAACCAAGAACCTATCACTCAACAAATATGCACTGGAAGGAATTGTAGATGGATTGGATTGGGCATACACTGAGAATGGCGACTGGGGACATCACGCGTCAGGCCAGGTACTCGAGTGGGACCCCGATAGGAAGCGATGAGTTGAGCATTCGAGGTGAGGTTGACGTGGAGGAGATCGTGTGAGGAGGAAATGAGAGGTTGTGGGCTGTCGTGGAGCCAGGTTCAAAAGATTTCAGAGGGGAGAGTGGAATGGAGACGTGCTACTGAAGCCGTATTTTCCATTAGGATACTATAGCATATTAACTGCCTGTATGCTGGGTTTGATAGCACCTTGATAACGGGTAGGTTGCGGGATACAGAGTTCAAACCTCTATGGAGGACACAAATATGCACAGGTACAAAAACTAGTGTCTCCAATATAACGAAATGTTGATCCATTACCAGCCATTGACAAATAACATCATACATGATTGATATTCCTCTACGAATTAATCATATTCATTCCCTTCAGAATAAATCTCGAAATAGTTAATCTAAAAACTGATTGACTAAAAGGAAATCATGCATTTAAATAAAATAATAGGTGTGGTTCATTGCTTACTTCACAAAAGTGCAAATAGTTGCTGAATGCATTTCAGTTTGTACGACTTCTAAAAAACAATCACCATGGTCACGTGCATAGTAGTTTTTCGCTGGAAAACTTTAGTTTACTGAGTGGTAATTTTAACAACAAAAACTGTTCAGAGGCACGTGCAGCTGTTGTTACCTATCCGTTTACCAAGTAGTAGTAGTAGTAATTACAAATCTGCATTATTACGTCATCGACTATGGTAACTCAAGGACACTTGTAAAATTAAATTGTCGAGTACGAAATTACATAACAAGTCATTTACTTTATTTCATTTATTCCCTTTTTGTATACACCTATGTCATAGAACAAAACATTTTTGCAATTTATTCAAGTAAATGTTGAATTTCAACGCTAAAATTAAGTCCTTAAAACTACTTTTAATTACTTCAAAATCTGTCGTTAGTCGGAAATCAACCGATAACTATTTAGTTCTATTCTGCAAATCACTATTGTTATTAAATAGATCTAATCTAATTGCATTTCTACATTGATGAAAGGTTATAGAGAAATAAAAATCAACATTCAGCCAAACAGGTATGCAGTTAGGAAGAAATTGAATAATCTGCTACGACTTTTCTTCCTGTATCGGAAAAATAAACACAGGAAGTAAAACAAAACATTGAAAACCGTTTCTAGGTCTTTGAAACCCTGTGGCAAAAAGTTCTATTCGTAACATTTGGGTTTAGTTCTCAGTACATTATCATACAGCTACTGTATGGGAAAGCAATGCTTGGCATTTTTCAACTTCATTTAAGGGTCAATATAATGGCAATATACCATTTAGTGTAATCACTTATAGCAGTAAAAAAATTCTAGTTTTTATTGCCTGTTTCATTAAAAATGATACCGTGAACAATATTATTTTCTCTATGAACACTAAGCAAGTGACGTTACTTAAATCACATTACATTTTCAGAAACAAGTGCATCTAACAATGTAGAAAACTGAATATTTCTTTGAGTTTCTGTACTGTAAGTATGCCAGAACTACTTATCGTCAGTGACTTCAGCGTTTTGCCAACTTATGCGTTAGAAGATTACACATCAGTTGTGGGTATCCAAAGGTCTACCAGCTACTAGAGTTTGAGGGAAGGCAATTTACTGGACTGAATTCAGTTGACGTCTAGCTGAGCAATCAACAAGACTTGGTTTGATGAAGACTCTAAAATGTCAGGCAGTTAATTTCTACTCTGTTACTGAATATCGCAGTGCTTACCTTATGATTTGAAGGCTTGGGTCGATACTATTAATTAAAAATATATCTATGGAATTCTCTACACATTTTATCAATCATGCAAACGAATTCATTTTTCAGACCCCAGACCATTCCTGAAACACACACAGAAGTTTTTCAAATAACCAGATGATTATTCTGACTCCCAGCTAACAAATCAACAGTTCCGAGTTAGAATCTTGAAAAGGTAACTGGTGCAAAGTTGTACCAGTGTAGGCAATGATTTGGTATTCACATACTCTACAATGCATTTCACTAGTTTATGATACTATGTGAGAAAAAATAAATGTATACTGCTTGCCGAAAACTTTCCAACAAAAATCATGCATATGTTACCTCTAAGTGGGTTGAGTGAAAACAACCCAGTTACACTGAATAGATTCCCGAAATGTGAGAGAGGTGAGTGTTCTGAGAAACGGATAGAAAGTGATTGTGTCTAATAGTGTGTTGATGCAATCATCACACATCATAGAAAAGTCTATGTACAAAGAGAAAAAAATAAATTCATGGAGAAATATGGAAAATTAGCTGATAATTACCACTTCTGGTGATAATCGTAAGGCAGCAAGTCTGACCAATAATATGTGCAGGATACTACAGTCTACACTCAACCTTGTTCTAACTTTAACTCCATAAAACAATGAGGGTTACAAACTTCAACGAAGCTGTATCCATAGAAAGCCTTCACCCTTCGACAGGTTTAGAAACTCAGGTGTACTTCTTGACTTGAAGATGGTATTTGATTCTGTCGACTGAGAGATGTTGTGACAGTATCTGATTGTGCAGGTGGTGCCCAACAAGTGTGCTATGACAATCAAGGTTCTCTACTCGAGCTCACTCAGCTTTGAAAGAGCTTGTAAAGTGTCGTCATCGAATTAATACCACCTAGTTTCGGCAACCAAGGATGTGCAATACCACCATTTACATTTAACTCTATAATAAATATGTTGATGGAAATAATCCCCCTAACCCCTGACTTGTAGGCATGGGATTATTCCCAGAAAGGCACGTAATTTACTTAAGGTATACATGGAACATGGTGTTGTTACTTGAAGATGCTGACAAAATGAGGAATCTTCTCAATGACTTGAGCGGAAAACTGAGTACGTTTGGCGTGTTTGTGCACCCGTCAGATGTAAGCTGATGCTTGAATAATGGTCTACATTAACTTCTAGCCTGAGGATAAGGAGTTAGGCGATATAACGCGTTGACAACTTTAATTACTTAGAGAGTTGCATCAACCCAAACGAGCCGATTGCTGACGAAATACAAAAGGCCTGTTCGGGATTTGCCCACATAACATCTCTGACACTGGAAAAAAGTCTAACTACCTAGTAAGGAACAAGAATACCATACTATAGTTCTCACTATCCGGTCATATGACTATGAAACAATGTCACTGAAGGTTAGAGAAATGAAGAGACTGCAGGTTTTTGATCATAGGTGTCTTCTTAGCATTGCTCACAAATGATGAGATCCCCGAGTGAGTAATGTCAAAGAGTTCCAGACAAGGAGAGCATTTCAGTCAACGAAATTGTGAAGCTTCACAGGTTGAAGTGGTTGGACACATATTGTGTAGATCAAGCCACCACCTACATCTACGTGTGATGTTAATCAACGAAGAATTGAGTTGGGATGAAGTTAAAGGTGGTCAGACCAAGACACAGTACCAGTTCATGGGGTATTTGACTGTTGGTTTGAAGTCAGTTAGGTGTAAATCATTAACGGCTAGAAACGGATTTTAATGCCAACTTCGAAGTTTTGAACATTTTAAAGAACTTTTATCTACTTATACTTCCTCCTATCCTACAATTATAAGCTTTTATGTCATTCTTTTTCTATCAATCTAAACTAGGCATGCTTCTGTGAAGTGTACCAGCTTGAATTGATTTACTTTTGTTTCAGGTACTATGTTGATTTGAATATCCAAGTTCAGTCGCTAGATTCATATCAGACTCACATCTATTGCTAAGATATATTTTATTTTTCAATGAGACGATAAATCAACGGATCATCTCCACATGCAGATCTACCAACATACACGTGTTCAGTTGTATTTCTATAAGGTTTAATTCATTCCTTGTATCTCAGCCATCAATAATATTTATAACAGAATAAGTCATTTTGAATACTACTTTCCTCCCAAAATCAGGCAAATGACATGACCAATTTATTGATTATTTTCGATAGATTTTAAAAAAAGTGAGTATAACTTACGTTCATTGTAGACGATGAGTAGTTATCAAATTTTTTGTTTACATCGTTTTGTCTGCACTATTTAAATGTGAAGAAAGAGAAAATGATCAGTAGCCTGTCTAAAAGAAATTGATTCTGACCGTTAGTCATATCTCTGAAGTTCCGGCTGTGCTGCGTTTACATTGGATAACATCTCTTCGTATTGTGGATTCAGTCGTGTCTGGTTCTGAGGAAACTGTCTTGTTCAGACTCTGTTCTGTGAACAATTTATGTAAGTTTTAATGATCACCTTATTTCGATAGGTAAACTCAATTTATTTTATATTTACCGGTGACTTCTCAGGACAGTTATTTATTTTGTTTACCGATTTGTAGGCATTATATCTTATGTCAATGATAGCAGTACATTTTTTGTCATTACACACACTTATAAATCTAGCTTAGTGTCAACAACTGTGTGTTTATAAATATTGATTTCACCGATGCACATCTGTAAGGTAAAACTTAGGTTCCATATCTGGTAAAACACTGCATTGAAGAAAAATTGAGAGAAATCTTTTCCACTGAAAAACTTGCATCAGTTTTCTTCATCACCGATTATTCTGTTCAGTTAGAAGGCAACTTACACCATTGAATTACCTGCGAGAATCTAAACTCTGCTTAATTCTTATGCTTTAATGTTCTTGTTGTAAATCACTTGTTTACTGAAGAAAAGATGTGTTAGAACTTTAGAAATAATCGACCAAAAGTGGCGGACTGATAAAGCATGCAAAATGCCTACGATTTACAGCCAAAGATGGATCCATGTACTTAGATAGGAGGCATACCTACTGCATGAACGCTTGTAATATTATCTGAATGGCAGAATTCCAACATATGGAAGTAAGACTCAAGGCCGTGAATCTTCTGTAACGTTTCAAATCCCTTGATCGACATCATACTATTTAACAGACAGATAAAATAATAGCCATGAAAAGCGAACTTATTCATTTCAAATGGTTACAAAAAGCAATAATTTTACTTTAAACTAAATAATGTCAATAATATTATGGTAACTTCCACTATGGATTTACACCGACCTGGAAATCGTTAGAAGCTAGTATAGGATGTGTTTAAGACCTACGGGTCTGATACTGAAAACATTGATTGTTCGTTACCACTTTGTGGTCACAACTTTGGTTACTTTGTAATTCACCATTCTTTATTTAGTTAGCTCTACAGGTACGATGAACTACAGCCACCTTAAAGTTAGTGTATATGATAGTTCATGATAACAGTACTAAGAAAATAACCGGACAGATCATATCCTGTCATACAAAAATAAGTTGTTTCTACTGAGAACACTGCTGGTCCGGTTGATCGTGATATACCACACAGAAATAAGTTATCCAGAAGTTTAAAAATGGGTTGGAGTTGTTTGATAACAATTATTGGTATCGCCTCGGAATGAAATCTGGTTGGCCAAAATAGATGAGTGAGAAGATATTTATCCAAGTAAAGTGATTGATCAGCTTATGAGATCAAGAGAACAGTTATCTCTTATCTTCATCATTCTAAGCTGAGTGAAGAGATATTTTGACAAATCTCTATGGTGTCTATCTGTTTACTTGATTCGAAAGCATCCAGTATACCTTAAAATTATGCTCACTCTTGACTGCTTGCATACGCTGAAAATTCTGTACAGTATTCCCGAAATATCTTTCAGAATAAAGTCATTATTACTGCTATTATTGTTATTATTATTATTATTACAGTTGCAAAAGTGATCAGGTGTCCCCAAGAGTGATCTGCGTATAGGAAATCAATTTTTTCTTGTAAAATAACTTACCAAACACTGCAGTAACTTATTATACTTCACAGGTATTATTTTCCTTTATTTGTGACAGTAAGAATCCTTGTTAAAATTTTATTTAGAAATAGGTACATGTCATATTTCTACGACTAGTCTATGTTCCAAGAAATCTATCAGAAGCACTAATGGATTATGGGATGATAGCTACACGTGAAGTAGTTATCTTGCACAGTAAACGCCAACACATCACCATCATTCAATGCTTCATTGTTTCGGTTACCCTTTCTGAACAAAGTGTACACAGTAACATCTTTGACCAGTTTCTATGACCCTTCTGAATAGCTCATAACCAACCGAAATTTCTGAGAAAGCTAAACAAGCTGTAATTAGATATACTATTATAATTAGATGTGGTAAAGATCCTATCTGGTTATTTATTCAATCATCTCTAGGAGAATTCCAAAACAAAGCCCAGTGGATAAGTAAATCCAGCTACAAGTTGCAATATACAAGAAACCATTTCTCGTGATAATACATAAAAAAGACGAACAACGTTAATAATAACTTCAAATATTACAGTGTATTGTATATGTCACTTGCATTCGTTAACTCACTGTACCCGCAACCAAATGTCATTTATCGTAGGAATACCACTGATACCACAAAGTAAGCTTATGCTAGTTTCGCATGTCATCACTAAATATAAGACGGGATACGTATCTATTTTTAACCTAAAGTCTCTTCACTGCATATCGACTGAAAAACAGATAAGAAACGAATACCAGGTATGTGCTTTGTTCGAGTTTGAAATTCCTGGACAGTTTGCACCACTGTTTAGTGAATATGATATACTGAACTCCTGCTATGCAACTAGACTGGAGTATGGTGGCTTGGACTTTGCTCACAAAGTACGCTGTGATTATCGCCACTTAATATTTTCAATTTGTAACAAACCAGTTATTAAGTTTTCCCTGGTTTTTAGCAATCCATCAATTTTTGTTGGTTCATAAGGTAATCAAGCCTTCGAAGAAAGTAATCTCAAAAGCTATTTTTTATTTTTTGGTTTAGTGAAATGCAAATTGTGACCACACCAATTCAGACGAATTCGGTTATTTCAAATCAACCAGCTCCAATAGCCAGCCAATCAAGCAAGAAGGACTGGGAAGTTGGTTTATTTGAATGCAAGTCGATAAAACTGGCAGTCATGTCTTGTTTATGCCCTTGCTGCGTTTTCGGTAGTATCAGCCAAGAAATGGGCTATTCGTGGTGTCTTTGTTGTTTAACCTATCTGATCACATTATTCTTCACACCCATTATGTTAATACATGTAATATTAGGATGCAGCTGTCGTAAACATCTAAGACATTATTACCGTATTAAAGGCAGTATAATCTTTGATTTTTTTGCCTACCTACTGTGCTGTCCATGTGCACTGTATCAATCAGCAGCACAAATAGCAATTGAACGTTACAGAAAAATGCAAACTAATGGTCGGAAAGATTATTCATCAGGTTTATTTCGTAAGATCGGTCACAAAATAATTACATTTTACAGTATTCCCAAATGTATTCATGATGCTCAGTGTTGTTCCCAATCTCTTTTACCTGCGCATGCACTGAGGGAAAATAATACACAAATGTATCCACAAGTTGGATTGGTTAATGCAATTGAAAGATCATGCATAAATCAGCTGACACAGATGTCACAGCTGGCTGCCCAAAATCCAGGATCGGTTAGTCTTACTATAGAACCATCTAGTATTTCCGAACATAAAATTCAACCTAATCCACAGCTACCACAAACTCAACCACAAAACTTTGAAACTCAATCAGACTTCAGTGTACATGAGCCAGTTGTGCATGTTTAGCGAAACATGTAGCTGCAAATAAGCATAAAAGAATAACTGCCGGAAAAATTTTTCAAACTGTTGGAATTACTTCACGCGTTCAAATCAGGAAAAGTTAGTCCAACGCTCATAAACTCATATGAATCCCTCTTTTGTGGTTCAGTTCATTTTGCCATAAAATTTGCTTGATTGAATAAAACGTTTAATTGTGAAGACTTATCTTTGCTTCTAATATATTTGAATTGATTACTAGTGTCAGGAAAAGAGCCGAGCATTCATTTAGGTTAAGCCAATCTGTTTTAAGATAAGATACTAATTGACAATTGTCTTGCTTTACTGATATGAATGTCTAAGATTTGAAAGAAGAAAACAACTCAATAGGAAAGTGTCTAGGATAGGAAAATTGTTTTTCATGTTTGAAATCCTCAAATCTTCCTTTATATTATATATTATATTATAGATTAGTTAGTGTTCAGATGACGAAGAGATATCAGATGCGGAGTTACTTCTATGTGAATATGATTGATGCTGTCAGGTCAAAGTACATGTAGAAACTAGTCATGCATTACCTCACAGAAGAATTTCAAACTCATACTTATAACTGATATAGGAAAATAACTCATTAAACAGGAGGCAGTGATATAAAATTACCCCCCCCCCCTTATAACCCGCTCATACACCCCATGGTACTATGATTCCAATCATCTTATCGATGTGCTATCCTACAGTCAAGTGTTTACAGCTTATGCTAGGGTAGTCCTACTGACTGCCTTAGACTGGCGATAGCTTTGCCAAAGAAATGAGAGGACGAAAGCGGACATCCAGTGCTATCATCAGATTGGTTTACGCAGAGGAGGCAACTAAAGTGGTTGGAAAACTTTAAATCCAAACTAGTGATGTACGTTGACTGTGCGATCCAAAAGAGATGAATATCATTTGAACCTTTTTCACTAGTAGAAATAGGAATGAAGCATCTGATTTTGTTCCACTGCCTTTTATATCAGACTAAGTCAAAGGCTGAGTGGGTGGTTCGTTAAGACAGTCGCCTTCTTCAGTCTGAGAATCCAGATAGTAACAGAGCCTAAATGTAAGGTATAAATGAGCATTAACAATGAAGTAAAGAATGCGTTCAGCAGATCTTCTTGTGACAAACTTTCTAATCAATCATCCAACTAATTATCTTTATATCGCCTTCGTTTTTGCGTCTGAACTATGTCATTCCTACGTTACCACTTTTGAATTCACTTCATATCAACTTTTGTTTTTCTCTGCTACTCATCACTAACTGATATTTCAGTTTGTCTGCATTATTTTAAGTTGCTATGCAGCTGCTTCCAAAAAACTGTCGTCCAGTGGAATATCTGATAAGCTAGACAACTTCAACGTTCGGATATTTATGCAGACTGCACAACAGGCTATATTTCACGAAAGCCTCGCTATTGATGCACGCTTTATCTTAGAGATCCAGCGGAAGTTATTTAAATAAGTTCTGCATCTGTCAGCTCAAAAGTGTGTCCCCAGTGCGTTTATCTGAAGACTGTGTAGCATCAGTAGTTACCCTTACTGGTGCTGGTATCCCACAAGGTGACAGAGTAGAGGCTGCACTAGTCAAGTGAATTCCTATAGGCACTCACCTGTGTGCTGTTAGGCTAGAAGGTTTGACTGAAGCAAGAGGTAAGTGGGAATGAAAATGACGTTTCTTCATCTTTTCTGCATATGCCCTGATTGAATGCAGTCCGGAAACAGTAAGGAATGAGTTCTACCATCAGCTATATGAGCTTCTCTACTAGGAGTGCTCAACAGATATCATAATGTTTTCTGGGGTACTTGTATTCATAAGTTAGGTGTCTGGTCAGAGGAGACAGTCGTTTAGGAGACCAATGGGGATTAATCAATTGCAGGTCAGATAATGAAGAACTTCTCTTGCTGCTTTGCATAAATAATAACCTGTTTCTAGTCAGTATCGACTCCTGGGAAAGACATCACTGTTATGTCACTTTGGATCCTCCCTCTATCACTCAAGCCTGAACTCAATTCATTTTGCAATTAGCTATTGGTGGTGTGTGTGCATTCAGGACTGCCGTTCCTTCTAAGGAATTTGTCTGTACTGTAGTCACGCTTCGTTGTGTATTAAGTTCATCTTGGGTCTGGGTGGTCAAAAATATCACTGTCAACTTCAGCAAACTGGCTTCATCTATTCCAGGTCATTATCAAACAAGTCTAGATTCAAGACTAGTTGCTGAACCTACAGAAAGCTACTTTTAGAAGACGAGGTTATGGGTGAATTTAATTCTGACCATGAAGAACATTCACTTAATAAACAATGAGTTTCAGTGAGCTCCTTGAGACATCTTGATGCTAGTTGGTGTATACTGGCAGGCACTGAGTAAAGTAGTATTTGTAAGTCCCTTAAGCTACAGATCAAGCATCGTTTGCTTATGGACCTCTAGGTACAATGTTTGGTAAGTTAGAGCGAGAAGGAAGCAACAGCTAGATCTGACAATAGCTGAGAGCTTTTCCAGCCTATACGAACCACCAGTAGCAAGAAGCTTGTTGTCAGTGAGGTGGTTTGTCAAGTAGATGTATGCAAATTCACAACGTTTGTATATGCTTGGATTGCTGTATGGAACGCTTCGAAAACATTTCAGTTGGCCGTGGATACACTGAGTACGTGTTCACGTTCGACCAGATTCTGGAATATCATCACAATTTTTGCAGACCAGTAACCGCTGCGATTCTCAATATTAGGGTTCTATTCGATTTGTTGGCCAAAGTTGTGCCATGGAACTACTTTTTACAGAATGATGTACCTGAGGTGTTTCCTAACAGCTAGAATGACCTATGACCTATACTTCAACATTGCACACACAGTCAGAGCATACAGACACTTGCTTTCATTGTTTGAAACCAACGATGAAATTAAGCAGACCATTCCGATTTCACTAATCTGGTCATGTACATCAATAGCACACTCGAGGTAACCTTGGAGGTAATGCGTGGTGGTGGTATAAACCTATCACCAGATAAAAGACTTTTGGACCTCGTTTTACTGTAAGACAACACAGTTTACTCAGACCACGCCCGTTCAATTAGCGATCAGTGCGTGTAAAAATAGTATGTGCTTCCTATCGTCGAAGGGGAAAAAGCTTCAACAAGATTGGCAGGAGCTTGTGCCTGCACTCATCCTTGATGGTTAACCGATAGAAGTTTTCGAAAGCTTTTTTGCCTAGTCAGTGGTATGAGTGCTTGCTGTAGTGTGACTGAAATTTCTGACTACATATTGGAAACTAGGACGGCATATAGCAACCTAGGTCATTTCTGATACCATAGTTACCATAGTTAAGCAAACAATTTCCCACTTCAGGCAGTTCTGCTCCCTCTGTGGAAACTGGTCTGTCTAAGTTGGGGACGTCTGACGACTGTTTGTCAGCCACCATTGCCTCTGCATGACTGCTCGCAACTAGTGGAAACAAGATGTCATCAATTCCAAGGTGAGGTGGCCTGTCCGAAGACATGATGGAGGTGGTCATTCATTGAGTGAGGTCATCGTGAAACTCTGGCTTCGATGGCTTGGACATGTGTTTCTTATTTCACCTCATCGTCCCCTCGAAGTTTACGATTCATTTGTCCCTGGACTGACTGGGAGAAGCCAAAAGGTGACCCCCACATGACGCGGGGATGTGAGCTGTCGGATTGTTGTGTTAGGCTATCTTCTGTCAGTGTCTCATAACCCCCTGGACGAAATCTGGAGGATTACGAGACTAAGTGGCTTCAGATGACAGTTGAGACTGTTCATGATCGAAAACGATGACCATGCTACGGTCTTCTTGTTTCTTCCATAACTGAAATCGAAAGGAAATCAGTGAATACTTCTTAAAATGTATCTTTGAGACTGCTTCTCCAATGACCTTCTTCTCTTTCTTTCTCCCGGTTTTATTCTTGTTAGTGTTGCCTCATTATTTGTCCCCATACTATACTAAGCTCGAGTTCTAAAAAAAATAAGTTATATCTTGCACGATATATTGCAAAATTTAACTGTGAGAGACAACCACCAAGCAACTGTAGTGAGCAATACTTTAACTTTTTTAAGAAAATAAACCTCCTCATCACTGCATCTAACATTGAACAAAATTTTAAAATTCACAGTTGTAATTCACAAATAAGGTTTCAAGTTAGCTTCTATCAGAGGGCAGAATATTACTGAAAACCGTGAAACAGTGCATATTTGCCCTAATTTGAGATTTTTCTGTAGCGTATGCCTAAAAGATTTAAGGTTTTAACATATACCCTTCAAATCTGATGATAATTATCATAACACAGCTACCGAAGTGGAATACAACAATTAGAATTTACAACCTTCACTTTTTTAGTGATTCAGTGAAAATGTCTCATAAGTTAATGGATTTCTTCAAAATAGTATAAGTAACCTTATGCTTTATAAGTGACCAAACAAATGAGCAAAATAACAATTCATAACTCAGGAAAAAATGAACTTCTTCATAAGAAAATAAGAAAACCCTAATATTGAACTCCTCGTCTAATGAATTAAGCGTAAAGTTACCACCTCATTATTCATAACGAAGAGAAATCCAAACAAAAGGATTTCTAAACTGTATTTCTACCTATTGATTTAAATCAGTACATGAAGCAATAAAAATCAAACCTTTTATTTCTGCCTTGAATTAGATCGCTAGGCGTTTCATATATCCAGCTGTTAAATGCTGTGAGCTTCGGTAATTCGGTTTCCTGTGTGGTTGGCTAGTATAGTATTTAAGTACCTGAGTCTGTTTGATTAAATTCAAACAGCTGAGATCTATCTCAGAATGATCCACAGATAAACCATTATTTATCTGACATACAAAGTAGCACCTACGTCATAGAATGCTTGAAATATATAGTCTTCTTCTAAAGCCCAAGAAGACTGTCAAACTATACCATAGGAAAGTAATAAGTAGTGATAACTATGGTCACTTTCTCTGCGAACTATGAACTTCATGATATCCAGTGTTTCTGATTCATATCATCACTAGTTATTTAGTTAATGTTATCGTAGAAAAATTTTGCAAAAATTATTGTGAAATTCGGTAGATACAAGAAATACCGAATTAAAGATACAACTACAAAAATAGTTAACTTAGATGTCCAGCAGGATTTTACTTTCTATGAAAGGAAACACTAGAGCTTAAAAAGTTATCACCATACTAGTTAGTT